TACTCTACTCTACTCTACTCTACTCTACTCTACTCTACTCTACTCTAACCTAATCTAACCTAACCTAACCTAATCTAATCTAATCTATACTATTCTATAAATTGCCCCTCTTTTGGTAAATGAACCATGGAAAGATATTGTCAACATGACTACTCTAAGCTATTGGGAATCAGTTTGGTCTAGTGGTCAAGGCCCTGGACCAAACTCCAGGCTAGAAACCTGGAGATTGTGAATTCTAGTCCTGCCTTAGGCATGAAAGCCAGCTGGATGATCTTGGGACAGTCACTTCCACTCGACCCACCCCGTCTCACAGGGTTGTTGTTGTGGGGAAAATAAGAGAAGGAAGAAATATTATGTGTTTTTGCTGCCTTGAATTACTTATAAAAGTAATATAAATAAATAAAACACAGGAATGAATCAATAAGATTGGTCCCTTTGCTGTATGTCTCCAAAGTTATAAAATGTCTCAAAGAAACATTGAAACTTGATCTGAAGAATCTGATAGACGTTCTTCGCTGATGGAAAAAATGAATGAATGAATGAGCAAAAAGATTGGAAGGGTGGCTCTTCTTGACCACTTCATTGGACCAGAAATATCCAAATACCATTGCATTATTTATCTGCAAATGTTCTGCAATAAAAATATGATGCTGGTGGCTGCCTCTGTTGAAAGGAAATCCAGGTTGTTCCAAGTTGGAACAACAAAAATAATGCAGAACATTGGCATTGTTTGAAGCAGAGATGAAGTTTATGTCCGACAGAAAGGGAGAGTATCAGATCACAAATTGGACGTGGCCACCCTAAATCCTTGCCACACAAGCTAATCATACCAAACACACACACACCAAAACTTGTTTTTGTTCTCTGAAGTTGCATAGAAAGATCCCACTTGTTAGGAATGCTTAAAAAGTATAATTGACCAGTTCTCCAAAAGGGGGCATTCTAGATCAGGTAATCTCTATGGTCAGTTACCCTGCTGTGCTTTATTTTTTTGCTAATTTCCCTCTCTATTGACTGGCATTATAAAGAACAATGGCAATTTCATAAAAGAAAGGAGATTTTGTTTATTAATAGGCAGAATCTCTGGCCATTTTATCTGAATGAGCTACCTCCTTTGGCCAATCTATCAACCTCTTTGTCAAGTTTGTTACCTTTTGTTGCTTTTGTATACTTTCTCAACTTTCCCCCTGGAAATGAGTGTGAGTCACAGCTTGCCTGAGAAACAACAGAAACTGAATAACAGGGAAGGTTTTTTTTTTTCCCCACACCTCCATAGTTAACTATCTGCACAGCAGCAGGCTAAAACATAGCAAGATATTCCAAACATTTATTCAAGAGAAATCAAATATAATGGAAAGAAAAACTGTTTTGTTTTTGTTATGCAAAAAGACAAAGCAGCAAAATTTCTTGTAAATGAACCAAGACGATTCAAAGAGCTCAAAGATGAAAAAATGGAAGAATTTTCTTTTTAAGTACAGGTAGTCC